TAGTTTAGATTATATTCTAAGATTAACTTTATTTTTTTAATTCTTGTCATATCTTTTTTATTATTATCTTTGTTATTAAATATATCTTTTACTATTTATAATCTTATAAATAAGAATAAATTTAGTAAATCTATCATATAATATCCTAGATTATTTAAAAAGAATGGATTTGTGTTAATTTACTTAAAATAGCTTCTTTAATGTGCTCAGTTTGTCCTTTAAAATATCTATAGAGTATTTATTTAATGTAGCATTATTTAAATTTAAATCTCTAGAAATATTAATTGATAACAGTTTTTTGAACATTTCCATAAATAATCCCTACACTAAGCTGACCATATATTTTAATAATATTTATATAAATAAAGTATATATTTAATAAAAATAGAATAATAACTTAAATATGTACAGATTTATCTTAAGAAATGAAGATCAAGAGTTGATCTTAAAAAGACATAATTAAAAATATTAGATATTGATTGTAAATATAATTGTATTGCTGTAGATAAATTATCAAATTTACTATTACTAAAATCGTTCTATAATGCGACTTCCTTTCTGTTCAAATAATGTCTTTAAATCAATACCTGATTGATTAAAAAATTCTCCTTTCAGTATTAAAGCTCCTTTAGATTAGAATATTGCCTTTTGGGAAATAAGAAGTGTGGTAATGTAATTGGAAACTAAAAATATGAAAAACTTAAAAACTACCTTCTAAAATATGACTATTGTATTGGAGTGGAATCTTAAATTATATAAAAATATCTTTGTAATTTTTATCGGAGGATTGAATTTCTTATCCTGTTTTAATATCCCAAAGTCGGATAGATTTATCATCATTATCAGATGCTAATGTATTTCCATCAGGAGAAAAACAGACTGACATAACATAATGAGTATGACCATCTAATTTGGCTTTTTATTATCCAGTTTCGACATCGCATAGACGGATAGAGCTATCATCACTACCAGAAGCTAATGTATTTCCATCAGGGGAGAAACAAACTGAGTAGACAGCTCCACTATGACCATTTAATTTGGTTTTTTATTATCCAGTTTTGACATCCCATAGACGGATGGAGCTATCATCACTACCAGAAGCTAATATATTTCCATCAGGAGAGAAACAAACTGAGTTGATACAATCATCATGACTATCCAATATGGCTTTCTATTAACCTGTTTTGATATTCCATAGACGAATTGACTTATCACCACTACCAGAAGCTAATGTATTTCCATCTGGAGAGAAACAGACTGAGTTAACCGTGCTAGTATGACTATACAATTTTGCTTTTTATTATCCTGTATTGACATCCCAAAGACGGATAGAGTTATCATTACTACCAGAAGCTAACATATGTCCATCAGGGGAGAAACAAACTGAGTAGACCCAATTAGTATGACCATCTAATTTGGCTTTTTATTAACCTGTTTTGACATCCCATAGACGGATAGACTTATCCTGACTACTAGAAGCAAATGTATTTCCATCAGATGAGAAACAGACTGACATAATTGAACTAGTATGACCATTTAATTTGGTTTTTTATTATCCAGTTTTGACATCCCATAGATAGATAGTGCCATCATCACTACCAGAAGTTAATGTATTTCCATCTGGAGAGAAACAGACTGAGTTAACCGTGCTAGTATGACTATACAATTTTGCTTTTTATTATCCAGTTTTGACATCCCATAGACGGATAGTGCCATCATCACTACCAGAAGTTAATGTATTTCCATCAGGTGAGAAACAGACTGAGTAGACACTGCTAATATGACCATCTAATTTGGCTTTCTATTATCCTCTTTTGACATCCTATAGACAAATAGAGTTATCTTAACTACCATAAGCTAATGTATTTCCATCAGGTGAGAAACAGACAGATTTAACAGTATCTTTACGACAATCTAATTTGGCTTTTTAATACCCTGTATTGACATCCCATTCACGAATAGAGTTGTCTTTACTACCAGATGCCAATGTCCTTCCGTCAGAAGAGAAACAGACAGATCTAACAAAACTACTATGACCATTAAATTTGGCTTTTTATTATCCTGTTTTGATATCCCATAAACGGATAGACTTATCATTACTACCAGAAGCTAATGTCTTTCCATCAGGAGAGAAACAGACAGATCTAACACAATCACTGTGACCATCTAATTTAGCTCTTTATTATCCTGTTTTGACATCCCAAAGACGGATAGACATATCATCACTACCAGATGCTAATGTCTTTCCATCAGGAGAGAAACAGACTGAGTTTACCCTCAATGTATGATTATTAAATTAAGCTTTTTATTATCCTGTTTTGATATCCCATAAACGGACAGATTTATCATAACTACCAGTTGCTAATGTATTTCCATCAGGAGAGAAACAAATTGAGTCGACCCAATTTTTATGACCAATTAATTTGGCACATTTTTTTTTAGTCTTCACATCCCAAAGTCTAACAGAGCAATCTCTAACCCCAAATGCTAATGTATTTCCATCAGGAGAAAAACAGATAGACAATACTCTGTCACTATGACAATCTAACATGGCTTTCTATTATCCTGTTTTGACATCCCAAAGACGGATAGACTAATCCTTATTACTAGAAGCTAATGTTTTTCCATCAGGAGAAAAACAAATTGATTTGATTGAACTGGTATGACCATTAAGTTTATTTAATTCCGTGATTTTTAAATCTTTCCATTTACAATTAAATAATAATGCCCCATTTAAATTTATTCCACTTATGTTGACATTATTAAATTAGGATTCACTAATATTACACTTAACAAAATTAGCTCCTACTAAAGAAGTATTTTAGATTTTTATTTTTTCAAAATTTTTGTGTCTAAGATCTGCTTTCATTAAAATTAATATATGTAATGAATTAGACCCACATTATATTATGGTGTCATCTATGGATGTGAGGTGAACTAAAAATTACAGAAATTCTATGATCTATTTATTATCCTTGAAGCTATTAATCAGACTTAATGTAGATTCTTCATTTTCTTCAGAGGAAAAATCTTTATAATTGAAGTCATGGTCTTTTAATTTTTTTAAGACATATGTAATTTATTTTAAGTAATTTCTAATAACAGAAAATTTCGATTCTGGATCAGCTTGGGTGGAATTCCCTACTTTTTATAAAATTTATGATTCTAGTTGTCTCTGATCCCCAATATCTGATAGAAATCCAATGCAATCTTAAACTTTTTCCTTTCTTAATATATCTAATATGACCCCAAAGAGTTGTATATCTACATCTTTTATTAAATCAAAAATTTCTGTTAGAGCTTCCTTCTCTTAAAAAGAGTCCTGCATTTTCTTTTTTATATTTAATAATGATTTCTAATACTCTAACTTTAAGTTAAATACTGCAAAATCAATAAAATATCTTATGTAATTTTTAAATTAAAATTCAAATTTTGTGTTGATATGGAATTGATAATAATTGAGGTAAATATGCTATTGAAATTCAACATTTGCAACACTTGATATTTTAATAATATAGAATCTCTTTATTGTTATTTGAATATTTGAATTTATACTAATTTGAGTTATATGATTGATTGATTCATTCATTCTTCTTGTTCATCTCTGTTTAAGTATAATTAACAATTTAAAAGATTGGAATATGTCTGAGAAAAATCTTATTCTCCCCTTAAAATACGTAAAAAGCATGACTTTAGCACTTGAAATAAGTGAAATATTGAGTAAAAGAGTTTAAAGTTAACAAGAGTTGATCTTTTCTAATTAGTATTAATAAATATGAATAGTAAGGCTTATCAAGTTAGACCTATTTTATGAGCTTTGAATTTTAGAGCTAATAATGAGCTTTGAATTTTAGAGCTAATAATGAGCTATTGGATTGTTCTTGATATCATAGAAGATCATTAAAGGACAGCTATAAGGATTTTAAGCTTATAGGTAGTCTCTAATGACTGGCCAACAACTTCAAGAATGTTTAAAATGGGTGGAAAATAAAGTAAGAAATTCATAAGAATAGGATAATATTTCTAAAAATACAAATACATGAGCTTGGAGTAGTTAAGATAAGTCAATCAATTTAAGGGATGTTAAAACAGAAAAATAAAAGCTAATTTAAATGGCCATGAAAATTGGTTAATGTGAATCTGTTAGAGAAATATAGAAGCTTTTGATAATTGGGATCATTCGAAAAAAGTCTAATCGAACCAAGTTAAATGGTCACGATAATAGGGTAAATTCAATCTGTTTCTCATCTGACAGAAATACATAAACTTTGATAATATAGATTAATCTATCTACCTCTGTAATGCTAAATCAGTTAGATAAAAGCCATAATAGATGCTTGAAATGATTATGTTAGATCTATCTGTTTTATTCCTGACTAAAATACAGACTCATCTAGTATATCAGGATAATAGAAATCCAAACTATATGGTAATTAAAATTGGTTAATGTCAATCTGCTTCTCTAATGATAGTAGGATATTAGCTTTTGGTAGAAGTGATAAATCAATTAGTCTATATGTATATTAAATGAAGATAATAGAAGGCCAATATAGAGAATCAGAGTGATTATGCTAAATCAGGATAAGTCAATTTATTTTTTGAATAGATTAGGGGAGAAAGAAAATCCCTGAAGGACTCAATTGACAAAATAATATCTTTCTTTGTCTAATTGTAGATGAAATGAAAGTAAGAATGAAGTTTTCTTAAGAAATTCAACTCTCATTGATATAAAATTTATTTTTCCTCTACTATCTCTAAAGCCTATTTCTATTTACTGTATCAAAAGCATAGCTAAAATCAATAAAAATGCCATTTATTTTACTTTTATTAGTTTGATTATTAATGAGATTTAATAAATTAATAATAAAAATTTAAATAGATGAGTAGGGAATAAATCTTTTTTATTTCTAGGTAATGAGTTTATTAAATATTTTTTTATTTTAGGTAGAAATATGAATTCTAGCAATTTAGAAAATGGGCAAAGAATTGGGTTGGTCGAAATTAATACCTAGTAGAAACTGAGAAAAAGCTTTATTCAGTGGGATTTTTTAGCTTAAAAACAGTGTTAATTCGTTTTAATAGTTCAATTAGTCCAATATGTTTAAACCAATTTAATATTTTTGCATTTCTTAAGAAAAATATCAGACAAATCATCAAGATAACTTTATTTATACTATTATAAGCCATTTTAAAAGGTTTTTAAAGTTAAAAATTTGCAATGACTGGTTTATTTGCAGCTTTAAAACAATTTATGAGTTCCTCAATCGTTTTTTATTTATTTCTTTTCATCATATTGAATATATTTGAAATCTTTAATAGATAAATGATTTAGCATTCGTTGAATAAAGCCCACATTAATATTTTCTTCTTAGCATGATAAATTATGATACTAAATGATATCAATATATTTGATAGTTTTATTTCACTAATCAAACATCATTCTTAGAATATTGTGAAGCTAAAGATTAGAAATCCTCATGAAGGTCATTTCATAATTTAATCCTTGAATTTTTTGATTCAAAAAATCCTAATTAGCATTCTTTTCTCACAAAACGCATAAGAATATGAATTAATTTAGAAATTGTTCCTTGTTATGATTATATTTAGTAAAAAAATCTCTATTCTAAAAATGAGGCACTTTCATTTTCTAAAAAACTAAAAATCATTAAACTAATTCACCGACTGAAATCAAATTGGCAGTTCTGATGAAGATTGTTTCTTCATAATTAAATCATTTATTGATTTGAAATGCTTAAATTTTCTAAGCATCAGTAATTTATCAAGAAAGAACCAGGATAATAAAATTGATGAAAACTGATTTATATTAATAATACATCTCAGCTTAAGAATTTCCCAAAATTTGCTCACTTATATTATTGATCAGCAATTAGAAGAATAAATTTAATTAGAATAATTATGTAAATATTAATTGAAAACATGATACTCAGTATTGTTCATTTTCTATGATGTATATACCATAAATTAAATGTGTAGCCACATTTATTTATTAATAGATGACTAGCTTCGCCCAAAGATTAAAGAATTATTTGTTATTAAATTTTTTAAATGAGAATTCTCTTAACATTCCAATCTTATTTTAAAGGATTTTCCGTCCATTACATTTTTTTGACTAATTTTATAGCAATGTGTTTCGAATACACGTACAATAGTTTATGTTAGAATAAAATAAAAAATCCTTCAAAACTATTTGTTAAAAAAATGCTTATTAGAATTTTTTTTTATTAGCATTTTTATATTTTAGAGCATAGAAAAGAAAATTATAGAATTATTAGAGGAATTCTTAGGTTAGGGCAATTGTAATTAGACCATTAAGTAGCAAGCAGCAAGCAGCAATTCTCATTAATTAATCATCCCCAAAAGACACAAATGATTTTCAGACTCATTTAACTAATTTCCCTTATGCTATTCATTTGTTTTCTAATGAATAGAGATAAAATTGCTTTTTGTTTATTTACCTTTAGACAATAATTAGTTTGAATTTTATTTAGAATCATGCAACCAACCGAACCCATATGCAATCCATGTTATTGTGATCTCTTCCAATTATTATAATTAAATTTTTGCCAACTCTTGATAGATTTAAAAAAAGCAATAGATATTATTAGTATGCGCTTGCAGCAATGATTCAAAATTTAATTTTCCATTATTCAACACCCTAATTTAAAATCGAAATTATGTTTAGATCCACTGTTATTCAAATCTATTGCATAGCATATTTTTCATTTTAATAATAATTGATGTAATTTATGAACATAAATGTATTTAATGGACTAAATATAATACTACATAAACAAAATTTGTAAATATCCAATATATTATAGGAATTGATACATCAATATCATAACAATTATATCTGTGTTTTTTTTATTAAATATCAAATATATAGAATAATTGTTAAATATTTTCAATATTGAAATCTCATTCTTAAAAATTTAAAAAGAAATTTTTTCTTATCAAATGATTAAAATAAAGTCTTGATTTAAATTCAAGAAACTATATTCATAGTTATTAATGAATCTAAGAAATATTTTGTAACTCTACCTATCCAAACCTATGAAATATGTCACAATTTTTTCTTCTCCAGAAATCATTAAGGTATTGTAACATTATGCTGTAATCTTATGCTGATCGTCCTCAACAAAAATGAATCTGAATTTTAAACTATTATAATCTCAAGAAAATCAAGAATTTGATTAAAACTTATTTTAATTCTTCTCTTCTAGCTCTTCCAAATAAAATATTTATTGATTAAAATGATATATTTTTAAAAAAGGAGACCTAATTAGTAGTTATTTTTTTGAGGATTTGTTGAAAATGTATATATAAGGTGAAAAAGGGATTGATGTATTTAGTATGCATCCTTTTAGAAATAGATCTAATCTACTATTACTTTTTAAAGAGTCAACCTTGAAAAAATATTTTAAGCTTAATCAAAACGAATAAATGTAATCGTATTTTTTTTCCAAAACTTCAAGTATGTATATTTAGATGAATTATAATTTAGGTTATAGAAGATTCAACCATCAAATAGCATAGTTCTAAGTGATGTTACCAGTTGGATGATGCAAATGCTTTATATTAATTTCTGCTATTAAATCAAGAAATTTGAATGAACTAAGCTTATTTTATATTCGCAACCATATTCTATAGTTTTAGATGGCAAATCTCCACTAATTTTATTTGAAATTAAATCTAAAGAATAAATAAAATTGATGTTTATAAAAGATGGAAAAAACGATTTCAATAATTAAATTCAAGATTATTCATAAATAATTAAGAAAGTGAAACCTCACTAAAAATCTGGCATATCATTCGTTTTTGTAATTTAGATATTTATTGTATTTAAATTATTTCTAGATGCAGGCAAATTATGGTTGAATTAAAATTAAAAATATCTTTAAAGTTATTTTAGAAATTTTTATTATTATCAGTTCATACCATTGTAATACCACTATTCTGAAATTTTCTGATGAATGAAAAGTTGATGATTAATAAACCTTATACATTACTATTTTAGAAGAGAAGGGAGCTATTACTTATTTGATTTTAAAAGGTTAATGATTTGGATAATTAATTGCATAAAAAGTAAATAAATAATATAGATCCAAATACTTAAAAGGTAATGTATGAGTTTGATATAGCAATAATGATTTAATAGTTTAAATCATATTGATTGATTATATATTTAAGAATGTAAAAATTAAAAAATAATATATATCAATCAAAATTAGAAAATTTTAATTAACTTTTTAATTGTTAGTAATTTAAGAACAGATTAAAGATTTTATTGTTTAATTCTAATGATTTCAAAAATCGTTATTTACTTATAAAACCCAATATTTTTCTTTTAGTTTAGATGAAAAAAAAAAAATAATTTCTAAATTATTAATTAAATTAAGAATAAATTAATGAAAGAATTAAAGTATTTTTTATAAGCATAGAAATTACTATTAAGAATTCTGATATTTAGAGAGGCATTAATTAATGGAAGACTTAAGCTTTTCTAAAATTTACATATAACACATAAATTACTAAATCCATTATATACTATATTGACTAGCCAGATTTAAACAGCATAATAGTTTTATTCTTGTTTTATCAAATCTTTCTATTTTAAACAATGAAGCAGTTATGGCCTAGTTTTGTAAATTATAGGTCAAATTTAACTAAATAGGATAACTTTACAAGTGAATTCTAATTTTACAATCTTTAAAATCACCAGCTTCATAAATATTAGAAAATGAGTTATAAAAAAAATTTAAGTTTTATTAATCATAACTATACATCTATAATAGTTACCAGAACTTTTACCAAGATATCTTATGATATGATTATATTTGATTGCCTCATTTTCATTAAATGTTTAAATCTCATAGAATTCATAATCTCTAATATCTTAGTTTTAAGTTTGCCTTGCTTATCTAAATAGTTATTAGTTATGAGCATTTAAATACACTTATGAACTTTCTTTAATATTAGAGGAAAATGAAAATTTATTATAAATATTTTATGATTTAAGAAGAAACTAAAATTAACTTAACTAAATTAAGAATTGTCATTTAGTATGCCTCTCAGACATACTTTACTTTAATGACAATGCTAAATTAATGTGCAATTTTTATCCTTTTAAAAATCAAGAGTATCCAAAATTTTATAATTGATTACTAATATGGGTTTTAATATTTATTATTAATTTTAACAAATTTGATTAATTAATTGTATTATTTCAAAATATCTAAAACTAAATTTCTAACTAATTTGTAAATATTGCTAATACAAATATGGAGTAGGATTCAAGTGATTTTATGAAGAGCATGAAAATGAACGAATTATAG